CACATGTTTTTTTTTTTTTTTTTTTTTTTTTTTTTTTTTTTTTTTTTATGAAAAGAAATTGTTATATATGGATGGAATTGATGAAGGGGCCGGGGAGAGGAGAGTGGAGACTGTGGACTGTGACAAATTTATTATGTTGCTATTTTAATCTTAAAATAACAGTTGCTAAACTTGCTATTTTATTTTTTATTTTTTTTTTGGATTGTTGTAGCCTGTATGTGACAGATAGAATGTAATTCTTTTTCTTGGTCACCCAAAAAAAAAAAAAAAATTATTGAAATCAGAAGGTATTTAATTGATTTTCTTGTAAAATTTGCAGAGGAATACAAAGCTTCTAATATATACAGAATTTACATAACACCAAAATACCAAATACAGAGAGATAGACTGATAGAGAGAAGAAGTTGTCCAGTTAACAACTAACACCAAATTGAAGTCAAATTTATTAACATCAAACTTAAGTTACTTAACACTGAAATACTAAATCCATAAAATTTAGCTCCAAACTGATCTATCAGCTATCTCCACGTAGAGAGTGACTGTGAGTCTGTGACGGATCTATTTCCCAATTTGAGCCAACACATTCTGCAGTTACTTTGCTTAATCACAATTGCAGCCAAATTGTATACCTGTATTTGTTCCATTGAATCATTCTAACATGTTAAAATGAAATAATTAGTGAAGTGTACTCTAAAGTCTAAATTATAAAAGACAATCGCAAATTGTAGATAGCAACTGTTTACTGTTATATTATTTTCATATAATATAATTAGGTTCTATTATTGAAAGTATGTTTAGTTGTTATAGTTATAGAATGAATCATGGTGCTTATAGTTATAGAAAATTAGATTGATTTGCAGCTTACATAATTTCTATTGAACTTGATTGTAGTTTGAACTTTAAAAGATGCCTAGTGAAGGTTCAAGAAAGGATCCGGCATGGAATTACTCACATTTGGAGAATCCGAAAGATATAAATGCCGTCACTTGTAACTTCTATGCAAAAGTTACAAAACGAGGTATTTATCGGGCTAAGCAACACTTAGCTGGAGGATATAGAAATGTGAGTGCATGCACAAGATGCCCATCTAGTGTTAGAGAAGAAATCAAAGAGTACATGAGTAAGAAAAAGGAAGAAAAAGAACAAATGAATTTGTTACGTAGTGATGAGATTAATTTCATTGATGGAGAGGATGAGGATGATGTCATGGAAGTTAGCAATCGGGGAAAAAGGGTAGCTAGTGCAGGTAGTGCTAGTGTCAAGTCCTCAAAGATGCAAAAGCAAAAGGGACCGATTGATTTATATTTCACTCCCAAATCGGAAACTGTGGTACAAAAAAGAGAGGGGGGAAAACAGACAGCCATTAATGATGCATGCAAGAAAGAGTTGAGAGGAAGAGCGTGTGCTGCTTTTGCAAGGTAGATGTATGATGCAGGAATTGCATTCAATGCTATTAAGTATGATAGCTTTGCCGAGGTTGTTGAAGCAATTGGACAATATAGTCCTGGCATGAAACCATCTAGTTATCGTGAGGTGAGAGTTCCTTTGCTTAGGAAGAAATTGGATAATACCAATGCTTTGATGAATGACCATAGAGAGGAGTGGTCAAAATTTGGATGCTCATTAATGGTAGATGGGTGGATAGACAAGAGAGGGAGAACATTGCCTAATTTCCTAGTAAATAGTCCAAGGGGAACCATGTTTATTGAATCGATAGATACTTCTTCTTTTTCAAAGGATGGTGCAAAGATGTTTGACTTACTTAATAAATTTGTGAACCGCATTGGAGTAGCAAATGTCGTCCAAGTCGTCACAGATAGTGAATCAAGCAATAAGTCTGCCGGTAAGAATGTTCAATGTTTGTAACTTTTAGAGTATGTAAATTCTTTGCAAATATATAATTTAAATCTTTTTTGATTTACTCATTCTCTTTATATCATTTTTTCTTTTTTCCGTTTGGTTTCAAAATAGGGAGGATGTTAGAGAAAGAACACCCACATTTGTATTGGACACCATGTGCTGCCCATTGCTTAGACTTGATGTTGGAAGACATTGGGAAAATACCGTCCATCTCTAGAACAATACAGAGGGCAGTGGAGTTGAATAGTTATATCTATATGCGTCCAAAGTTGTTGAACATTATGAGGAACTTTACTCATAAAAAGGAGTTGCTTAGGCCCGCTAAGACTCGATTTGCTACATGTTTCATCACATTATCAAGTATTCACAAGCAAAAGAATAACTTAAGAAAGATGTTTACTTCAGAAGAATGGAATCGTAGTAAATGGGCGAAAGAGGAAGCCGGTAAAAGAGTTGCTTCTTATGTTTTGGAACAACATTGTCTTTAGCCTTCCTTTTGGAACAACATTGTCTTTAGCCTTAAGGTTTCCGGTCCTCTTATTCCAGTTTTGAGATTAGTTGATGGCGAGAAAAAGCCTCCCATGGGATACATTTATGCGGCTATGGATAGGGCTAAAGAAGCCATTGCAAAATCATTTGGGGAAGTAGAAGACAACTACAAGGATATTTTTGAAATATTTGATAAGAGGTGGAATGTTCAACTTCATCGCCCTTTGCATGCAGCAGGTTATTATTTGAACCCAGAATACTTTTATTCAAATCCGAAAATTGAAGAAGATGAAGAGATTGCAAAGGGTTTGTATGCATGCATTGCAAGGTTAATCCCGGATATCAAAGACCAAGACAAAATTACTGAGGAGCTGTCCTTATATTCTAAAGCTGAGGGCCTCTTTGGTAATCCCTTTGCTATTAGACAGAGAAATACACGAGGACCAGGTAAAGTGGTAAAGTATATTAAGCTAGTATAGCTAAGTGTTAAAATTAGTTTGACAATAGAGTCAATAGAAAGATGAAGCTAAAGTTGCTAAACATCATTATTAATTTTTTTTAATAGCTAATTGGTGGGAAGCTTATGGCAAGTCAACAAAACTTCTCCAAAAGTTTGCTATAAAGGTTTTAAGCCTTACTTGCAGTTCTTTTGGTTGTGAACGAAATTGGAGCGTGTTTGAGCATGTAAGTATATACTATCTACTAACTAGGCTTGTAATTTAATTGTTGAAAGTTAAAATTTTAATTTTTTATACTTACTAGTTAAAGTTGAATTTATTGCAGCTTCATAACAAAAAAAGAAATAGGCTCGCTCAAACAACTTTGAATGATTTAGTGTTCATCAAATATAATAGAGCATTGAGGCGTCGATATAATATGCGTGACACTCTTGATCCCATTTTACTCGATAACATTGATGAGAGCAACGAGTGGTTGACGGGGAGGATGGATGATTCTAATGCAGGACATGATCTAGTCTATGAAGATGATTCCTTGACATGGGGTGATGTTGCTAATTTTGCTGGTATTAGAGAGGCTAGCAGGCCGCAACGGTCTACTAGATCAAAATCTAGTTTTAGTTCACGGTTACCAACAAAGGGAGCAGGAAGTTCTTCAGTTCGACTTGTGGATGAGGATGAGGATGAGGATGAGGCAGATTCAGATGAGATGGAAGAAGATCCTGAGAATTATGAATCATTAAGTGACGATCAAAATGATGTTATGCTTATTGATGACGATGATGATATTTAGATTCGTTGGTATTGTCTTCTTAGGAAGAAATGATGTCTATGTTTGTTTTAGTTTTATTTCATAATTCTCTCCTAGTTGACTTTTGTATCTTTATGTTAATATGTTTGATTATTCACTGTTGAACTTAAGTACTTGATTTAGTTGGCTTTGACATCTTTATGTTGAATATTGAACTTAAGTAATTCATTTAGTTGATTTTGCATCTTTATATATACTATTGCATCTTTAATACTTTATTAGGTGGGTTTTGTTTTTTTTTTTTTTCAACGTGCGCCCTGCTTCAGTCGGGCGCGCGCCTCGCCTTGCGCCTCAGGCTCCAGGAGGCATTTGCGCTTTTGTGCGCCTTGAGCCTTTAACAACTATGCTAGAGGAATTAATGGAGAAAAATCTTCCTTGCTTCCTATTTCCTAATTCTTTCCATTCTCATATTTTCTTCTCCTATATAAAGGAGTCTCCACCATTGTATTATATATGAATTGAGAGAGTATTATAAAAGTGATGTAGCCCTTTGGGCTCTTTGTGTCGTGGATGTAGGCTCTAGTGGCTGAACCACGTAATATATGTGTGTTCTACTTGTTTTATTTATCTCTTCACTTCCGTTTTAAAAATCCATGGCACTCCAAAGGGACTTCAGAAAAAGATGGTTAAGAATTAAAGTAAAAAAGTAAATTAGTACAAAAGCAACAAAGAGGACAATCCAAGATTTATAAATCAGTAGTCTCTAGTAATTCTTAGAAGGTACTGAATGGAGTATTATTGCTCCTGCTACAAAAGTGAGGTTCAACATAAGAAATGTCTTCTGCACCAAAAGGTAGCAGAAACATTATGATTTCATATCCTTTGATTGAACCTTGATTTTTTTTCATATACAAAATGTACCATTTTAATAAAGTACAAATAAGGAAAAATAAAAAAGAAATCAGAAAGATGAATACTAACAACTGTGCTTATAGTTTTTTGAGATTTTTTATTTTATTTTATATATATATATATAGATATATATATATATATATTATCACATTGAGACTGGGATACCATGATACCTGAAGATAATAAGAGATTGGACAAGATGTTTTGTTGCACATGACAAATTATAATATCAAGCTGGAGACCTTGAGAGATTATACAGAAGGTTAAAGAAAGAGAAATTAAAAGATACATAGTACATTTATGTATAGAAATTAGATCAGATTAAAATCTGGAATGCCATTTACCAACCATTTGTGGCTGGTGATATCATTCCACCTATTGAGAACCAGGTTGCAACTGAAGCATGGTTCAGAACTTCAGAATGTAAACATTGATGGTGGTCTGTTCATGTATTCATTCTACTTATTCAAGAAATTATATGAAGTTGAAATATAAGATTTATTTATTACCAACTCGTCATTGAAAATTACCAGGAGACAACAAAGCAGACCAGCACTAGTGTCCAATTAGAGTTTGATGGATGAGGGCCTTTCCTGCAACAAACACACCCACTTGCAACATTGACGACAATTTGAGCAATAACAAGAGCCAATGCCGCAGTTAATCCAAGAGCCAAAGCTGGACTCCTAGGGTATACACATACAGAAGGAGAGGTAAATTTAACCTGAGAACTCTGCAAAATAATACCCGAAAAAAATAAAATTAGTGACAGCTTGAAGTATTCAACATTGCTTTCACTATAAAGAGAAAAGATATCTGTTGGCTAATAAAAAATAGAGATCAATATTAACAGAATCTGATGCGGGAAGCTCTGATGCGGGAAGTCGTGATAGAAATTGACATAGGGAAGGCAGAAATAAAGAAGAGAAGAGAAAACGCTGTAATTTGATTAATTCTCCTATAAAAATCATTATCATTCTCCAATTGTATAAGAGGCCTTCTATGGGTAGACCTCAGGAAAACTCTAAGCAAGAGAAAATTACTAAATAACTAAAAATATAGATACCAAATAGAAAAGGATGAAGAAACTAATATCTATCATTCCCTAAAAGTATAAATAATTCAAAATCTATCTCTTGCATATCTATAACTGACACGGGTGCCAATTGTGCATGGCACATGGGGTATGTCTTCCATCATGATTCCTATGAGACTCACTCTTCATTTGATGTAGGAGTCCCATAACCTCATAGCAAGATAATTCACAAGCATCCAAAATTGTAGTAGCTGAGAGTACAAAAAAGTATATTTTACTCAACTAACTTGGGAAAACACAAACATATAAAAGCATAAAGAGAATGACGCCGAACAAGCACACAGAAGTGCATGCACGCATTCACACACAAACATAAACAAGTGCATAAGAAAACCTTCTGGGTTGCATAAGGATCGATAGACAAGGCAAATATTAATTAATAATTAATGTCCTTTCCGCTAGTTGATGGGTTGGTAAATATGCCACAATCAATTCATCATTAAGAAGATCAGGTAAAAGTGCAAAAAAAAAAAAAAAACCAGAACTATCAAGAAAGTGAAAAATAACCCCCTAAACTATCTCGGGTTGCAAATCAAACCCTCAACTATACAAAAGGTTGCAAATAAGCCCCTCCCGATCACCGGACCACATTTTTCGGCATCCAAAGGGTCAAAATTACCAAAATACCCCTACTTATTAATTTATATTAAAGTTACAAAATATCATAAATGTACAATACCCATAATACCCTTCAGGGGCCATCTTGCAACTAACTAATAGTTCAGGGATTTATTTTGCAATTTTGCCTAATAATAAACAATATCAATCATAATAATAATAATATTATTATTAATATTAATAATAACTAATAATATTTGTAGTAGTGGTAATAATAATAATAATTTAAAAAATAACAAAAATAAATTGCTTGATTAGTTGCTCGATGGATCCATATGCCTACAAACAATTTTCGCAAGCTCATAAATTATCAAAAAATATTTCAAATAATAATAATAATAATAAGTAGTAGTAGTAGTAGTAGTAGTAGTAATTATTAAAATACCAAAAATAAATTGCTTAGTTGCAAAATACAGGAATCACTTTTAGAACCTCTGCGAATTAACAATAAGAATAATAATAACTAATCACAATAATAATAATAATAATACTAGTGGTGGTGGTAATAGTATTAATAATAATAATAATTTAAAATAATAACAAAAATAAATTGCTTGATTAGTTACTTGATGGATCCATATACCTATAAACAACTTTTGCAAGCTCATAAATTATCAAAAAATAATTTAGGGTAATTTGCACTCACACCCACTCAGGTTTGCAATAAAGGCAGGTAGATACAATTTAGGGAAAGTGTGATCTAATTGCCCCATCAAGTTTGCAAACTTGAATAACAACACCCCAACCATGAAAAGAGTACGTAATTACCCTTTTGACTTCTAAATTGACCCATTCAAATCATGAAAGTACAATATTAACCTTTTACAAGTCCTTTGATTTGACCAAAATGACCCTTGAAAAAAAAAAAAAAAAACTCCACCATGGCCCTCGCAATTTTTTTGCAAAACCTTATTGTAGTATTAAATTAAAATTATTTATGGTAATGTTTTACATAAAAATTAAAGTTGGCCCCTTAAATTTTTTGTAACACTATTTATTGTACTAAATCATAGATACTAATAGTTATTTTCTATATAAAAATTAAAGTTGATCTCTCTAATTTTTTTTTTTTTTTAAAAAAAAAATTGATATGGTTTCCTATATTAAATATAGTTTACTAATGAAATTACTTGTAACCCCTTCAAATTTCAATAAACCTCTTGCTATAAAAGATCAAATTTAGTTAAAAAAAAATTATTAATTATTATGGTAATCCTTATAACAGCATACTATATTTACACACACATATATTCACACACACACATAAATATTATTTGTTATGAATTAGAAAAAAAAAAAAAAATCCATTCACTTGACAACAACAATGATTCAATCAACAACTTTTCTCTTCAATTTTATTGCATATTATTTATAGACACATTTTAATAATAGACACAAAACTTCCCCAAAAAAAAAAAAAAAACATTCTTATAATGATTTTATGTTATTTTAAAATTTTAATTTTACAATTCTAGTTTGGCCCCACCAATTAAAAATTCATGGGTCCGCCCTTGTCTGTATGTATATGTCATTGACGGCCACAGTGATGGAGTTTGAATTTTATTTTTTTTATTTTTTTTATTTTTTTTTGCTAAGGGTCATTTTGGTCAAATAAAAGAACCTATAAAGGTTAATATTGTACTTTAAAATTTTAAATAGGTCAATTCAAAAATTAAAGGACAATTAGATACTCTTATTATGGTTGGGGTGTTATTATTCAAGTTTGCAAACTTGAGGGGACAATTGGATCAGTCTCTCCTTAATTTGTATCTACCTGTCCTTATTGCAAACTTGAGGGGGTGTAAGTGCAAATTACCCAAAAATTTATTAGCTTAGAAAAAATTGTTTATATTATTATTATTACTACCACTACTACTATTATTATAATAATAATAATAATAATAATAATAATAGTACTACTACTACTACTACTATTACCATTATTATTATAATATTAATAATAATAATATTATTAATATTGATGTTGTTTATTATTAGGGTAAACTATAACAACCTCCTTAAGGTTTGGCCTAATTGCAAGTAAACCTGAGATTTGCCATTTTTTTACAAAGACACCCCTAAAGTTTGCCCCCATTTTACAAAGACCTCCCCTCCGTACAAAAAGTATTTACAAAAAGCAATACTTTTTGCTAAAAAATTGGCTTGAAGTGACCAAAATGCCCATGGTATTATTAAATAATAAAATAACAATGCACTAGTGGACCAAACTACCCTTATATATATATATATAGACACAGTTATAGCCGTGAAAGAGAGAGGAGAGAGACAGCTATTGAAGGTTCATTTGAAGGTGAAGGTCCCAGATCGTGACTCACCATTGAAGACCTAATTTCTGTTTTGTATAATCTCAATTTTTTGCTACATGGTTCAACTGGTGTCTACATCTTATTTTGATTTAAATTTCAGACCATTGAAGACCTAATCTCCATTTTGCTCCCAATTGTTGCCATTTTGTGTGAAGACAGAAACAAAACAGGAGCGTCCATTAAAACCGGCAAGCTCTAAGCGGCAACGCCCATTGAATCCGGCGTGTTCCAAGCAACTCCATTGAAGACCCAAAACTGAGAAGCTCCATTGAAGACCCAAAACTAATGAGCTTCAGAGACGAACCACAGTGAGCTCCATTAAAGGTCAAACTGATGCACACCATTGAAAACCCAATTGAAGCCACGCTATTGAAGACCCAACAACTCTGGCGAGCTTGAAGATTGGTATCCATGACCCGAGTATATATATATATATATACATACCTTGGTATCCATAGCCCGAGTGTATATATATATATATATATACATACCGACAGAGAGTGAGCTCCATTGATGATCAGAGTGCTTCAGCGACCCAACCGAAGATGCATACAGAGCTTAAACGATCCAAACCAGAAAAGCTTCAAGCGACCATGAAATCCAACGACCGAACAGAACTTGAAACCATAGAAGACTGAGAAAAACTGAGAGAGCTTGATATGGAAGAGCTGACCTGTGTGTACCGAAAAGGACCAAATCAAAGCCCTAATCGTCCCTCTAATGCCTTCATGCATAACGCAAATCCAATCGCAACTTTGTGATCAACAAGCACGATTTCCCAAATCTCGTCGCTATCGTCCAGATCAATCTCGACGTTAACCCCAAACCAACATCATCACGCCGTCGCCGCCAGACCAGCATCATCACATCGTCGCCACCACAGCGAGATCAATCTTGACATTCACCCCAAACCTCACCGCCGTCGTTGCCAAGCCATATTCTATAGTTCTCTGGATTTTTAGGGTTAATTCTCTGTATATATATACAACTGCTTAAGGAGGCAACTAACATCTCAACGACGAGATTTAGAATAGCGATCTGGTTTAGCTTATTAACTCCTTGCTCAATCTCTCACCCAAGCAAGCTGTAATGTGATCAAATCGGGGTTTGGAACCCGTTACAAAAGAAGGAATACGAATCGAACCCCCTTCACTTGAAACACTCAAGCCCCTTCACTTAAATTCTACTATGCAAATATATACATATACATATATAATATGATTTTATGGCTACTAGAGGGTGGTGGTGTGTATATGGTAGGTGGAAATCTCTCACCCAAGCAAGCTGTAATGTGATCAAATCGGGGTTTGGAACCCGTTACAAAAGAAGGAATACGAATCAAACCCACTTCACTTGAAACACTCGAACCCCCTTCACTTAAATTCTACTATACAAATATATACATATACATATATAATATGATTTTATGGCTGCTGGAGGGTGGCGGGGTGTATATGGTAGGTGGCGATTGTTGGTGGCGATGGAGAGTAGAGGGAATAGTGGGGAAAAAAAAAAAATTTAGGTAATTATTGTTGGGCAAAAGGGTCATTTTCTATTCATAGATATTTTGCCCATTTTTAATAAAACAATAATGAGGGTATGTAAGTAAATTCAAATCAGAATCTGACATTGGGGTGTCTTTGCAAAAAATGACAAACCTCGGGCTTACTTGCAATTAGGGCAAACCTCAGG